TGAGGTACATGGCATTCATGTTACTCTGTCTGTTACTGGTAGGAAGAATGCTTTGAATAATCCTATGGAAAGTGAGCCTGTGCCCTCATCCTTTTATTCAACTATACAAAGAGTTAATTTTATCCACCTATGAATTAATCTATAGAACATTAAACATAAAAGAATAATAACAAGATAGTAACTTGTCCCAGGACTGTTTTCATCTGAACCCTATTGAAAAGGATGAGAATGAGATGCTAATGATAATAATCTCCTCAAGTGCAATCCCAACTCTAAACCACCAAAGAGGATGTGGAAAACTTCTGGTTATCTATACGATCAAAAGAAACTCATCATAATGAAAATACAAGTTGGATAAAACACCAAACAGAAAGTTTGTGTACCATTAACATAATGAATGAAAGAAAAGTTACATCAAGGGCAGTGACTGAAAGTCTTTTGTTCTTGTTCAGTCATTTTTCAGTCGTGTCTGACATGTTGTGACTCTATTTGGGGTCTTCTTGGCAAAGATACCGAAGTGGTTTGCCATGTTCTTCTCCAGCTCATTTTACAGATGAGGAAACTGAGGCAAACAGGGTGAAGTGACTTACCCAGGGTCACACAGCTAGTAAGTGTCTGAGGCTGGATTTGAACTCAGTAAGATGAGTCGTCCTGACTCCAGGCCCAGTACTCTATCCACTGTGCCATCCACATGCCCACAGGGAAAAATGCTCACCATTTAAATCATCCCACAAATGCAATAATGTCAAGAACAAATGATATAAAACATCACATCTTCCAGGGAAGCGGTTTAAGAACTCTGGTTCTTCCTCGCCTTTGAGTGATTATTATTACTCCTGAAAACAGAGTATGCCTTTCAAATAATAGAGGAAATCATACCAAAAGATCATATTAATCATTTGGTGTACATGGATGTCAAGTTATATGGTTCCATTGAAAAACACATGAAATAGACCAAGGAGAAAACATTCTTCCCACCTCATGACAGAGAAAAGGTAGTGAATGAGACAGGCATTCGTGAACATGGCCAATATATTGATCTATTGTGTGACAATGCTAACTTGTTACAAGAGAGGGTTTCCTTTGGGAGTTGAAGGAGGGAAGACTAGAGCTAGAAAGAAAGGAAGAAGGAAAGGGAGAGAGATAGAGAGAGACAGAGAGACAAGCAGGGAGAGGGAGAGATAGAGACAGAGACACAGAAAGACAGAGAGAGCTAGAGACAGAGAAAGACAGACAGAGATAGAGAGACAAAGAGAGAGCATCAATGGAGAATTTATTTTAAATGCACAGAAGAGTTTTAGGGGAAGAACAGACAAATGGAACAGCATCTGGAACCAAAGTGCTGAATTTAGTATATACTTAAATAAAATAGCTGTACATAATGAGATTCCTGTTTTTCAAACCCAATATTTTTTTCCATTCTTTGTATATGGAAATGTTCCATTTGTTGGTGTTTTTCAAGTTCAGAGTAACAAAAATTTTAAAGTGAAAAAAATAGTTACTCTATCTCTTAGAAACTTTTTCTAATATCAAAATGTCATTTGGACTAAATTTTTAATTTGTAAAAATTCTTAATGTGTATCAAGGAAGAACAGATTGAAGTCTCTAAGCTCAAATCCAGACATCAAATTGAACCAACGGATGAAAGAAATACTTATAAATCCTTTGGTCTTCTCCAGGCAAGACACATCAAGCATGAGACTGCCAAGGAGAAAGCTGAGGCCAGGGATATTTAGAGACTGACTGGCAACGTGGTATAGTAGAGACCACTCAACATAGTGTCAGCAAGATCTGGGTCTGAATCTCACTTTAGCCACTTATTAGCTGTGCGACCCTGAGCAAGACATGTAACTTCCCTGGACCTCAGTTTCCTCAATCTATAAAATGAGTGTATTGGACTCAATGATCTCTAAGGTCCCTTCTAACTCTAAATGTATGACCATATGACTCTGAAGCCAAAATTTAAAGCAAAGAACACATTTAGAACAATTAACATTTATGCATAAGGTATGGTAAAATGGACAGCATCAGATCCAGAACACATCCAAACAAACAAACAAACAAAAAACATACAAGGTTAATGTTCTCATTACCCCAAGGTAGCTAAGATAGAACGCTGGGCCTGGAGTCAGGAAGACCTAACTTTAAATCCAGCTTCAGCTACTCATTAGTTGTGTAACTCTGAGCAAGTCACTTAATCTCTGTCTGCCTCGGTTTCCTCAACTGTAAAATGAGGATAATAATAGCATCTATATCACAGGATTGTTGTGTGGACTAAATGAGATAATATTTGTAAAAGTCCTTAGCATGGTGCCTAGCACATAGTAAGTACATAACAAATGCTATTTCTGTTCTCCCTTATAGAAAGAGTAGTACTACCTCATCAAAAAAGTGGAAGAGGATTGATCACTGTTCTCAAAGCACAAAATAAACAGGTTTGAAATTTACAGAAAAACTTCTGGAACTCACATTCCTCATTTTGCAAAGCAAAAGCAAAGACATTATACATATATACACACACATACATATATATGTATATGTATGTATGTGTGTGTATATATGCCCCTAGATTTGTTGAATGGCACTGAAAGTGGTTTATCTTGAGATGATGCCTATGAAACAGCTAAGACACAAGTGTGAAATTAAAAAAAATGCTCCATTGGCAATAATCAGAAGAATTTAAACAACATATCACCAAGAAGCCCAAAATAAACAGCTGAGTAATTCAGATTTGTTTATAGACATAGATATAGAAGGATTTATGCCACCAGAAATTACAGAGAGATCATCCTTAAGGATCCTACATTTATATTATGCAATGAAGTGGTAGAAACTGTGCAATAATATATCACTGCAGGCTTACAAAACATTAGCATCTGCTGGACACCTAGAAAGACAGAATCAGGCAGCTAGAATTATGCACCAGCCATTTTACAAATCCCCCAATACAAATACAAATCCCAAGATATCCTTAAGGATTCAACAAATAAAATGTGTGGAACATTTTCATCAGAATCACTATTTTGTGTTTTGAAAACCTGATGGTTCCTTCCACTGACAAAGGAGAAAATTCACCAACAGACACTGCAATAGAGACACTGAATAACTTTTTCAACAGCAGACATACGAAGAGCAATCAGGTTTGTATATCAATGGGTGAAAAGGACCATCACATTCTTTCTGACCTGGCTGTCTCTGCAAAGTCTTTTCTAAGAACACAATTTGCTAAGAGGACACTTGTTTCATAACTCAGCTGCTGAAGACTCTCATAAGTATCACTTGGCAATAAAAACTTTCTAGTAAAGGATGTGTGCAACACACAACAATGAAAAAGGGGACTGCTACCCATTACTCGAATCGGATGAAAGCATTCTAATTTTCCATATCTGTTTAAACAAATAATCCCCCAAGTGATCTCCCCAACTGTATCCATCATGTCCAGACCATACTTACAAAAAGTAAATGACAATGTTTGAGAAAATAAAAGCTTTCTTACCGCTTTCATATAGCACTGGAATAGAAGGGAATGTAGCATCAGCATATTATTTGCTGGGTCTGGACTGTCCTCTTCACAGAACGTTGGCCACGACGGGCACTGGAGACAAGTCCAGCACCTTCCAGACACCTCACTGCACACGGCCTCCTAGTCAGGTAGAGTCCTGGAGATATTACCGGGAAACAAACTATCTTAAAAGCCTTTTGTGGTTTTCAATGGAACATAAAATTCATTGCTTCCAAGATGACCCACTGTTCACTTGCACATATTCTTTGGCTCTCTCTGCCAGTCCTTTCCCAAGACTGAAGAGGGCGCTCCAGTGCCAACAGGTACTGGGCGAGGCCAGGTGAAGCCTATGTGTAGTCACTTTGGAAGCTGTAAATAGTTAACTATGACTGGTTGCTGGGGCAACCAGAAACATTTCTTTAGTGAACAGATATCTGTTCACTAGCACGTATGTTAAAAAAAAACCTTTTAAGAAAATGTCACTGTTTTTCAAATGTGTTAAAATTTCCATATAAAAGGGCAAATGTCCACTTAACCACATAAAGGAAGCACTATAATGTACCAGATTAACACTTGCAAGGTATTTGTTAAGATACTTAGGCCAAAAAAATGTGAGTCAGTAAAATATTATGACAGACAATAAGCATTTCAAGAAATAATTGGAGTTCATGATGACCCTTTAAAGTTATAATTTGCAAGTTTGAAGAGAAAATGTCTCCAAGTGGAAATGTTATTCTCTGTCCCCCTGGTTTATGATGGTAAGGTTACTTGGGAGTCATGATGCAGTATTGTGACTTTTTTTTTCTCTCACAAAATCTCTAAGGAATCCAAGGAATTAAAGTCATAAATTTAATTTCAATATCTCATAAACTGTGAGGCCAATTATTAAGGAAGTCATTTCAGAATACTGAGAGGGCCCCTCAGTGAGAAACAGCAGTCAATATGGGTTCAGGAAACACAAATCACGCCAAACTAAGTCACTTCCTTGTCACACCAGGAAGACAAGCTGAAAGACTAGAGATTATGAAGCAAACTGAACGTATCTTGAGTATAGTGATGCACAGGGGTACAATAGAACCTTACATTCTTGCAAGAGGATGAGAAAAATACGGAAGAGATGGAGTTAGTAAGAAGGAAACCCACCAGAATGAGAACCTTGGGCGCAGTATGAACTCAAGGGATGAAAGGAGAGATTGGGAGGAGAATGGGGCTGAGCAATGGACCCAGTACTACACGCAGTATGATAAATGGCTTTGTGGATCCAGCAGCAAGTAATGACATCATGATCAGCAAGTAGACAAAGTTGAAGGGCCTATTCCCCACCTTGGGAGCTAAGATTAAATACAATGTCAATATATTTGGGAAATTAATATCATATAGTTCATTAACAGAAAGTAGAAAGTGTTTAGAGTTTGAGGGGACTTTAGACGTTATCTAGTCTCTTTCATTTTAGAGATGAGCAAATAGAGACCCACAGAAGTTAAAGGACTTGCCTGAGGTCACAAAGGTGGTAAAGCCGTAAAGCCAGAATTTGAACCCAGGTCCTCTGATTCCAAATCTAGGATTCTTTATATACCAGGTTCTTGCATGAAACGAATCCATATGAAACAAGAGGGGAAACTGGCTGGCTAACTGTGTTAGGATGAAATAAGTGGGGTTTGCTGTAGGAAGAAAAAGAGTCTGTGATAACAAATTTAGACTGTGCACAATATTAACAATTCTGTATACACATAAAGCATTTTACAATTTACAAGGCATCTGCACATCCATCATCTCATTTATACCCAGCATTTAGCACAGTAGTTGACACAGAGTAGGTGCTTAATAAATGTTTATTGATTGATTGATTATCTGAGGATTAGCAGTCCTAGGAAGCAGATAGGGCAGTGATTATTACCACTAGTTTATAAATGGGAAAAGTGAAGCTTTAGAGGAAGCATGGAGTAGTAGATTGTGTGCTAGATTGGAAATCAGGAAGACCTAGGTTCAAATCCCTAATCAGGAACTTTCTAGCCACTAGCCAAGTGACCCTTGGTCAGTTACTTAACCTGTGTGCCTCAATTTCCTCCTCTGTAGCCTCTGTGGTGTCTTCTAGCTCTAAATCTATGACCCCATGATCCTATAAGTGACTTGCCCAATGTCACGCAATTAGTAAGCAGAGAAACCAGGCCTGGAATACAGTTCTTCTGACTTCAAGTCTTGTGCTCATTCAGCACCTTATACCTTGGTGCGAATTTGGGGGTGGGGGGCGGTGTAATTCTACCCTTCTGAAGAAGTATAGGGATAGCTAGGTGGCGCAGTGGATGGAGCACCAGCCCTGAAGTCAGGAGGACCTGAGTTCAAATCCAGCCTCAGACCAAACACTTGACACCTACTAGCTGTGTGACCCTGGGCAAGTCATTTAGCCCCAACTGCCTTAAAAAAAAAAGTATAATGAAAGTTAAATTTTAAAGGAAAATGTATTTACAGTTAACCATTTTCTAACAGATACAAACCTGCTCTATAGGTTATGCAAGGTCAATAAGGGAAATTCAAGAAAAGGAGGCCATACACCTAGGTTAATTGGATGATCTGGATATTTTAATAGGAGACCATTACTTCTCTTCCCTTTTCTATCACCAAGTGGATGATCATTGGCAAGATCTTCCAAGGTAAAATGCACAGGACCTACTGGATCATCACTTTCGAACCAGAAGGGACCCTCAATATTGTATAATCTGGCCCCCATATTTCTATAGAGAATAAAATAGAAACCCAAAGAACGGATATGATTTGTTCATGGTCACACAGGTGACAAGTGTCAGGAATGAGAGCCCCAGCCAGGCCTGATCCCAACTCCATTACTACAAGTTGTCTTCTGCCCTCACAGTTTACTCATATAAAATGAAAAGGAAATGAATATTCAGCTCCTCACATAGCCAGATAATCATTACAATGTAAAGTTTCTGTTTCCTTCTTCTCTATCCCCACTATTACAAGCCTGGTGTACAGACTGCATTTGGCACTAGGTGGCTAGTAGGTGGCAAAATTGGCCTACTTAGTTGTAATAACAAGGTAGGGAGATGTTCTCTAGAGGCCTGTGGGGGTTCATACACTTGTCCTCTTACCAGAGCAGGCTTTTCATAGTTTTGTACACCTCTGCTGTGTGGAAATAGATTTAGATTAGAAGTAGAGTGGCTATCACTGCAGGTAGCATTGCCATTTCAATGAAATAAAAGTAATGTCTATGTACAGTGGTGTCTGCTTTTAACACCATTAGTAAGCCCTTTGCTACCATTTAGTTATAATAAGTGCTGTAAGTCAGGCCTCCCCTGGATTTTCAAGTAATTACATAAATACAGTGTATAAGTTGGGTATGGTAGAATAGTACTTTCTCAGGAAGAAAACCCTTCTTCAGTGAATTCTTCATTATTGGTTGGGTGCCAGCTATAATACCTTAGTTTAGCCATGCTATGGACTGAGAGAGACTTATCACTGGGAGACTGGCTACAGGTGACACATTCTTTAGCCAGGGCAGTATGAAACAAAGAAAGACAAAATGGCCCCCATCATGTGTTCCACTTTCCACTTTTATGGTGACTGTGGCATTACCAGAAAATAAGATGGAGGCTGCCAGGAAACACGTACTTTGTAGGCCATTTTAAATATTAATTTAATATTTGGTCCCCTGATATGAGATATCAGAGCAACAATCAAAGAGATGACAAACTAGTAGAGGGAATGCACCAGGCCAAAATTGCCTTCCCCCCCTCTAAGTGAAAGCACAAGACAGAGAAGTTGCAGCTAAATATAAGGATAGTTTCTAGTTTTTTCCTGGGAGAAACAACTAAAGGTGGAGTTGGTTTTCTCACGTACCCAAAGGCAGTAAGAAATAACATGTTATGAGAAATTTGGTCATCTCACCTTGAAATGGTCATAAAGACAGCTGCAGCTTGCATGTTGACACCTGGTACAAAGGGTGAATTAAGCAGAGGAATTCTACAAAGAACTTGACAAGGTCCTTACACACCAAGTAAATATATAACTTGATACTCATTAACTTCAATGCAAAGGTAGGCTCAAGGGAGAATAGTGAAAAATAAGCTGGAAAATGTGGTTCAGGATTAAGAAATGAGGAAGCCAAGGCTTACAGACTACTCAGAAGTTTCTTAGCAATAGCTAGCATTTATGCAGTGTTTTTGAGGCTTGCAAAGCACTTTATAAATATTATCTCACTTGATCCTCAAACAACTCTGGGAGGTAAGTGCTATGATCGTCCCCATTTTACAGTTAAGGAAATTGAGGCAGATAGCAGTTAAGTGACTTGCTCAGGGTCACACAGTTAGTACGTGTCGGAGGCCAGACTTGAATTCAGGTCATCCTGACTCCAGGTACAGCTCCTTGTACACTGTACCACCTAGCTACCTCTAAGCCTATGCAAGACTTCTTGCTTGTATAGCACGGAGACTTTCCTCAAGAAGATAATCAGAAGATGCTAGGCATGGTGAACACTGGACAGTATCACAAAGAAGGAATTTGACTATGTCATTTGAGGAGGGAGGCTCCAGACCTGTTATTTCACTGATTTAAAGAACTACCCATATGAAAACTGTTCTCCCAGTGCAGATCAGCAAATTGTCTATGGCTGATAGTCATAGAAAAAGGGCATGGAGAGGCTAATTGGCTTGCCCATGACCACATGGTATATGTCAGCAACAGGGTTGGAATGCAGTCTCTTTGGTTCCAAGGCTGACCTTCTAGGCTACTCTCGACTATATCATAACAGAGAAGAAACTAATTGCTATGTGGGAGTCATGGCAGAATCAATCATCTCTCTAATGACTTCTCAGGGATGTTGTAGAGTAGGGAAGTTCAGGGTAGATTACACAGCCTCTGAGGTCTTTTCTGACTCTGAGATGTTGTCATTCTGTGATTTCTTGTCAAGAGAGGGATCATGGAAATAACACGTGCAATACATAACAGAGGACGGCCTCAGACCCATAACACTCACTAGTTGTGTTACTCTAGACAAGTCACTTAATCCCAATTGCCTCACCAAAAAAAAAAAAAACATAACAGAGGAGAAGGATGGAAGATGATGTACAATTATGCCTCCAAAAAAGTAGTGAAAGACAGTGAAGAGAAAAAGAATCTATGAAAAGTGTGGCATGAGACTGAATTGTCATTATATGTTCTAGGTCACCCTGTAGCACCAGAGGAATTTCTTCTTGAAAGGAAACCGAAAGGAACCTGGCAACCGTTGATTCAGGTATGCTATATGAGACAAGGAGGCAGCTAGGTAGCCCAGTGGATAGAGCATTAGGCCTGGAATCTGGAAGACCTGAGATCAAATCTGGCTTTACATAGTAACTAGATGTGTAATACCTGGGCAAGTCACTTCATCTCTGTTTGCTTTAATCCACTGGAGAAGAAAATGGCAAACCACTCCAGTATATTTGCCAAGAAAACCCCATGGACAGTAATGGCATGATATAGTCCCTGGGTGCATGAAGAGTCAAACACAATTCAACGACTGAACAACAACAACGAGATGTATTCTCATCTTATAGCATTTTTATCTGAGATCATTCTGTTGGAATAACTCTGTGTGTGTGTGTGTGTGTGTGTGTGTGTGTGTGTGTGTGTCTGTGTCTGTGTTGTGAATCATGGTGGGGAAGGGGGGAGGAAGGAGGGAAGTTTGCACTTGCCCTGGCATGCACCCTCCAGTCTCTGGCATACAATCATATATATAACCACACCAAATGCAGGCACAAGTACACTACTTTCTCACTCTCACTGCAACATACCACCAGCACACCAATGACCACAATCACCAGCCATCCCTCCACACTCCATTAATCACTGCTTCCAGGTCTGGTTCTCAACCTCCAAACTGAATGCCATTCCTGAAGCTACTTCCTGCCATTCCTAAATAGGTATTTGTGTCCCCCACAGCCTTTGGAACATACATCTTTTCTTTTTTCCCTCTTAGACATTGATCATCCCAAATTTCTGACACCAACTATCACTCTGAGAACACATATAGATGCAAATGAAGGGCAGATAACAAAGAGCCAAAAATGCAACAAATTTACCAGTGTTTCTCCAGTGATCTATACTCACCATTGATGATGGTAGAACCCCGATGGACCTCTCATACCTCAATACCAAATTTCTATATGAGAACAAGATGAACGCAAAAAGAAAAGCTGGACCTGGCTAAGTACACACAGAGAACAACCATGCTGGAGGCAGCACAATTTTGAAAGTATTGGGGGACCAATTTTTAAGATATCTGAAAGAAGGGAAGATACCAAATGGTTGGAAAAAATCACAGATGACATTACTACTTCCCAAACAGCAGTCAGGAAGCTATCAACATGTTCTGGCCCATATATTCCTTGTTATCTCTAGGCTCAAATACAAAGAACTCTAGTTTGGCATCTAAAGCCCTTTATAAGCTATCTCCTTGTATTTATTTATTTGGTATAGCCTTATTTCTATACATGTGGTCTCCACAGATAGAATGTAAACTCTTTGAGGCTAAAGACTCTTTTCATCTTTGTCTCTGTCACCCCAGGCCCTGGCACATAGTAGGTGTTTAACAGGTGCTTGTTCATTAAGATTCACCACTGTCATGAATAACATCATGTATAGAGCCCAAATAGAATAGAGATTCCTT